CATGCGGGATTCGAACCCGCGGCCCCCAGCGCAACAACATTGCTAAGCCACTGCGCCACCATGAAGCTAATACAAAGACTAACTTTGTATTTGCTTCATGGTCGCCGGGTTATAGCTAAAGTGACCATACGTCCCGTTTTGAACGGGACTGTCCCTTTTCTCGGTCTCCTGTCCCATTGTCCCCAAACAAAGCTCCGGGACACAAAATTGTCCCGTAACTCGTTGGATGGAAGTATTCAAAGTCAACAATCTTCAACATAATTTTTTTTAATCGAATATATTTTATGTCTACCTGGTACGAATGCTCCGGTAGAAAGGTATTTTTTTATTTTGCATAAATTGTGGACGTCTGAAAGAAACACTTACGGTTCCAGAGTTCTAAAGGCGATGTTGTTAACAAAGATAACAATAAAAAACTTGAGCAGAATTTTATTCTTATTTAAAATCATCACCAACTTTATTAAAGCAAATTTAATCCACTGACAAATGTAATTAATAATTAAAAAAAAAATATGTTGCATTTAATAATTACCGTCTATACCGAATATAATTTTATAGTGAATACTAATTGTATAAAGTTATAGTTTTTAGAGTATAAATAAACCCATGTCCTGTTATGAGTTAAAAAATAAATGGTCAGCTTAGTCTTTTTAGTCAAATTTAGTTTTAAAAATTTTTAGTTTATAGTAAAAAGTAGGTATATTAGTACTATTTACCGAGTTATAAGTATAGAACACCTTATGTACTCAATTATTTTTTGAAAAAGAAGAAAAAACAAGCAATAAATAATATACTATATTTTAGCAAAAAACTATAACTTAGTAATACTAATTATAACTTAGAACATAAATGAAAAACTCATAACTGACTTTTTGGCCCGACCCAGGATTCGAACCCGGGACCTCATGATCAGCAGTCGCACTACTACAACCACTAGACCAACGAGGCAGTATAGACCTGATAAGATATTGTGGTTGGGTGATAATATTGAATTAGCCTTTTATAGTGTAAATTATAATATTTGTCGAAATTTTAATTATGGATTCGAACCTTACATGCTAATGGTGCTTCATTTTTTTATTTGCATTTACTTCAAAGAAAATACACGCAAAAATCTTCATCGCGCAGTAAAAAACACAACAAATATATGTATAACTAATACGAAAAATTATACCCAAAACAAACAAATAATACTACCTATAAATAACCTAATAAGTAATAATATTATCGACTCATATGACGTGGCGTATGCGTCGGTCGACGCTCTAACGACACGGGCTTCGCGTCGAAGAGCTCAGCGCTCACTGCACAGAATACTTTACTCCTAGCGGAGAGCTCACTGACTTCAGCAAGCCCGTGAGCAGTAAATATGCCCAGATTTTAAAATAATTTCTTAATAAAATCAAATTTTGGTCTTTTGAAAAAAAATTTACTATAGAAATGTTTATTAATAAATTGCCTATCCATTGGTGTAAATCGCAAAATAAAATAATACTTACTTTACGAGGAGATGCATGTTATCAATAATAATTTCACATTTATGTGGTTTCGTTGTAAGGAGATTATATTAATATTTATTCCTTTAAAAAAAAATTGGATATAGCTTTTATGGAATCAAGATTATGTAGAAATATAATGTGTTTTTTATTTGTTGATATATCTTTTAAATAAAAAGTAGATAGCTCCTAAAAACCGCCCAAATAACGACTAGCGCGACATTTTGCTCAACCTGCGCCTTAAGCCGACACTACAGTCTACTTCGACGCGTAACTATGAACTGAACAGTGAACACTCGGCCAACGTGTGATCGCTGTTTGCGGCTTGCGCCAAATTTCTTTGATTTGTGCACGGAAAACCGACACTATACAGCTTGTGGACGAGTGTTGGCCGCAAAAGCCAAATACACACAAAACGGCCCAGTACACGTTGGCCGAACGCACTCGGCGAGCGCGCTCGGCCAACGTGTACTGGAGGCATTACGTAAAAAGAGGGAGGAGGGGGGTCGAGAAAGTCTAATGGCAGCCATACACGATCAAGTCTACCGTCAAGTTTGCAGCGCGCTTGAAGCGGCGTCCGGTAAACTTGACGGTGTATGGCTATGGGTGTGCATGACAAGTCTACTTGAAGCAAAAATTTAATTTCGATTCTGCCGACTTGATCAAGCTTGCAGCGTCATGTAAACTTGAACGTGTGTATGAGCGGTCAAGTATGCATGACGTTAGTCGGCTGCGGCAAGCGAAGACGCGCGCACGCGGTATATAGTAGAATACACCAAAGTGTTATGCAATGTATAAATATTTTTTTTATTTCTTTAAAAAAACGTTACCTACACACTAGGATTTTCTCTTGTATCGTGGAGGCAGTTAACAAACATAAATTGCACGAGGACAAACATCTACACATATAAAAATACAAATATTTGTTCCGTGCGGGATTCGAACCCGCGTCCCCAGCGTTGCAACTCATTGCTAAGCCAAAACTTTATTGTTCAATGTGAGGAAGGTTAATATACAACATCGAGGAAAATTAATATTATAACAACGTGAACGTCTTTGAAACTCAGATAATTTACCTACTTACCATTTTAACCTACTTTAAAAAAGAATTAGCTACTCAATTCAACCGTTTTTTTTAATGTGTGTAACCTCAGAACTTTTTTCTAGGTGAATCGATTCTGATGATTCTATTTTATTTGAAAGCTGGTGCTTATAATTTAAACATCACATATAAATTTGATCAAGATCTGACTAGTACTTTTGGAATTATCCGTAATATTGCGTATTCGTATTGAAGTCGGTTGTACGAAAATTTTAATTTCATTAATTGTCTCTCTTCCTCTCTTTTAAAAAAAACCTTACTTCCACACTAGGATTTTCTTCTGTATCGCAGGTACAGTTTACATACATAGAACAGACCCAGAACAATTATTTGTAGGTCTTACAAATACTTGTTACGTCCGTGATTCGAACCCGCGGCGCTTAGCGCTGCAACTCATTACTAAGCCACTGCGCCACGGAGCCGTCACTTGTCTGTTTCACATTTTTTGCTATTTACTATTGAGATAATATTTTTCGTTTCATTAACCAGTTCTTGCAAAGTAATTACGAGCAATAAGCCTAGGATGGCTAAAGCATCGTCGTCCGTCACTAGTGACGCCATGGTTTCAACTGATGCGGCATCATGCAAACTTGACGGCGAACTTGAACGTGTGTGGCCTATATGGATGCACTGCAAACTTGACGCCGCTTCAAGCGCGCTGCAAACTTGACGGTAAACTTGATCGTGTATGGCCGGCATTATGTTACATGGGGGTACGGGGGGCGGGGGTCAAAAATTGCCAAAATCATCCTTATGTAAATAATAAATGACCCCCTTATTTTTATGAAGTAGATTGCGGTTTGCGAGTGTCCATGGGCCATGCATGGGCAACCATAGGTTCGTTTGTAACTTCAGTTTTATAAATTTGTTAAATTATAAATTAGTTTCCTTTCTTTCACATATTATTTTCAATTTATTATTATTATATTATTTTATATTATAAGGATCTTTATACAGAATGGTCCGAGAGCTCATGACGCATTTTTCATGAAGTGGTTGATGTATTATGAAACTTTGTTTAAAGGTATCAGTCGACTCAATAAGCAGTTAAGTATATGACTATCTGCCTGGCCTACCTGGGTACACCTGGTAGGTACTGCGCAAACAGGTTAGTCGCAAAAAAAAATTGCCCAAAAATTGTTTTATTCCTAAAATAATAATGACTATCCGTCAGCTAAAGATAAAGAAGTTGATAAAGAATTAAGAAAAAAAATGGGAGACACTTCTGAAGGGGTTTACATAGAGGCAGACTACCCCAAAGTTGTATTTTAAAAATATCCCAAAAAAAAGGTTTGATTCAATCTGCCATTTTTACAGCGTGTTTATTATATATAATAAAAAAATCTCACAAAAGGGCAGACAGTTTCTCCGGAGGTTAATAATTTAAAAGTATACAAATAAATAAAATTAAAGTGTCTGTTTGTAATGTAAAAGTAACTGCTTTTTACTAAACGCATATAAAATTTTATATGGTATTTATAACAAAAACACAATTTTTTAAATTTTTGTCTGCCTGTCTGTCTGTTTGTTCCGGCTAAGCTCCGAAATGGCTGGACCGATTTTGATAGGACTTTCACTGACAGATAGTTTATGTTGTAACGAGTAACTTAGGCTACTTTTATGATAGAAAAATTATTAGGGTTCCGTGCAAAACAAATTAAAACCCTAAATTACACGCGGGTGAAGTCGCGGGGAACAGCTAGTATTTAAATAAATCCTGCGTGGACAGGAGACAAATGTGCTACAATACTTCAGAAGTGTCTCCCCATTTTTTTTTCTTAATTCTTTATCAACTTAGCTGACGGATAGTCATTATTATTATTTGAATCAAACACTTTTATTTTAGGCAATTTTTTTTGCGCTTAACCTGTATGCGCAGTACCAGGTGTACCCAAGTAGGCCAGGCAGACAGTCATATACCTGCTTATTGAGTCGACTGATACCTTTAAACAAAGTTTCATGATGTATCAAACACTTCATGAAAAATGCATCATGAGATCTCGGACCAGAATTAAATCCTCTTGTACCAGACGGTTTTTGTTATCAGCCACCAACCTGTTCCATAAGATTTGATATAAAAAGAAATGTGTAAAAACAAAAATTTATTTAATCTTAATAATTGTTTATATACTTTAAAAGTAGTTACATATTACATTATTTGCAAATATATTAGGCTTACTTATCAATTTGTTTAAGAACAATGATTTCTTTACAAATAGAATACTTCAATCTAAACATGCAATTTATAGCTCTATTACATATTATTTTAATTACAAATGTGGAATCTAAACATAATACAATGATAATTTACAAAATGTTTAAAATATAACTAAAATCTTTGATCATAGCTTGAAAATATTTTGGTGTCTACCCTGAGATCAGAAGTATATAGTATTAAATATTTACAAATCCCATGAAAACAAGTGATGTTTAACTAACATATCTCTTACACCTTCTTTCAGTGGCTGGTTCTGTGTATCTTTTTTTAAGGGAAGCTCCCAATCTGGGTTCAGATTAAAACCAAACTGTGAGAGTAACCTGAGCTCACATTTTATTTGTACCCAACCTGGTGAATTGATAAAAGACCATGGATGGTACCATTTTTGGACTACATCTACACAAGAGCAAAGTACTTCTAACCATAAGTGCAATGCTTCTTCATTTAGTCCCATACATATTAGAGTGCGCAGCTTCACATCCATTTGTGCATGGGCATTGTCATGGGATAAGTTAATTGCCTGAACGCATCTATACAACAATTCTTCTGGTGTAAGAACCTTCCCATCTTCATCCAAACGGTAGGTTTTGCATAACACTAAGCGACTGTATACAGAATTAAAATCTTTTTCTACTTCTCTTGATGAAGCCTCTTCAATGAAAAGCCAAGGGTGACAAGGTCCATCTAAGAAGCTGGGCTTTTTTATTCCATGCAATAATACTCTTTTGAATGCTGGAGCTAGGACACCTCTTACTAAATGTGCAGCTTTTTCAGTAACAGAGTCATCACCAGCTCTACTGTATTTAACACCCTTTTCATCTAATAGTTTCACAAATCTGGCAGGGAACCAGCCTCGTAAACCATTAAGCTCTCCAATCCAGCAGTATTCATCCCTAGAGCTTATTACCTCTATAACGTCATTCTTCCTAAAACCCAATTCATCTCCATCCCTTCTTTCAAAGTCAAGGAGTGCTTTTGCCCTTCTCCTTTTACTTCTTGAAACATTTACATATCTTTGCCGATCAGCAGCATGACTTTGCATTGTATAATCAGCTGTTAACTGAACTTCAGATTGCAATTGTGGTTCTAAGGCTAAGAAATGACGAGCAACTTGTAAAATAGCTTCCCTAAGATCTACAAGGATTTCTGTCTGCTTTACGTTTTTAGATACTGCATCTTCATTGTTACTATCATCACCAAATAATATCGTTTGAATAACAGATTTGCTTCTCTTAATCTGCCGTCTTTGTAGCTGTTGTTTAGGAAGGTTACGAACTGCACTGGGGTTCCCGACTAAAGCACCTTGATCAGCCATAAGGTATGCCAGGTGTCGTCTTCTGTGTGTTTCTATTAAAGCAGGGCTCAATGTATCTCCACAAACTTCATCAATGGTCTTAATAAGTAAATCTACATCATCAATCTCACCAGGTATGTCAGACAAAGCATTGAATATTTGAGCAGAGTTAGATATCTCTGTAAACCTTTTTTCCTTTATCTTTAACATAGCTAAAGTTACTTTAAAAAGCACTATGGATCCTTCCAAAAAGAAAAGGTCCCAAATTCTTAACAAAATTTTAATATGGACCACATTAGCATATAAAGTTAAAAACCAATGCATGGTTATAAGAGAAAGCTCTATATCATGTGCATTGAGAACTTGATCAATGCCTGGAAGATATGTTGATATTAAACTTCTCAAAACCTTTTGGTCAGCTTGTATACCAATTAATGTAGAAGAATAGTAAGAAGCGGGCAAAATATCCTCAACAGTGGTACACATAATCCAAAATGCTTCCTCTTCTTCCATTAGAAGCAAAAGGGAAGCAGCAATCATTCCTGTACCTTGACAATAACCAATGTCCGGATATAACCAAGCCAATGCCCGGAGAATGCGGCGCAGTCTTGGAACTCCAGTACTAGTTGGGTGGGAAAAGCAAACATTGTTAGGTAAAATTTGAACCAAATCTTTCTCAATTTGCTTACTGGTGACTAATCTATCATCACTAGAAGCCCTTACTATTTCATGATATGTAATTTCTGTAGTTGCTCTTTTTTTATTAGCACCACAAAGATGCATCCACACCTGTGGACGTAACGTATGAGGTACACCATCCTTAACCATTTTCAATATTTTATCAGTTTTCTCGAATTTACTTTCACTTTCGGTAAAACTTATTTCTTTACTATAAAACTCCCATTGAAGGCGATGTTGATCGTCTTCTTGGACAGCACTGTTTAATAATTTATCAGATATTTCAGATTCTTCTTCATCTTCAACACAAAAACCAAACTCGTCAAATCGGTAATCTGGAAGACCGCCTTGACCTTCAGATTCAGGCTGTGCTAATTTGGCCATAATATCTTGAGGCACCATGCTAGGTGTCAAGGCTGAAAAAGGTCCTCCAGGTGCTGGAAGCAACTCATCGGCGATGTTTAATCCCCGAATAGCATCGATTACATCTTCTGGGTCGTCGTCCCCTAACGCTGAACTTATTTTACGTTCATGATCTTCTCGGCCGACGTAGCCTACATGGTCTCGTGAACTAAACAACGACTTTGCTAAATCCATTTTTGCTTTTAATGTACTACAAAGAGTTTAAAATCCACTACGTTTATTGTCATCACAAAGAAATAAATTTTATAGAAAATTTCTTCCCTTTTTGTTGTTTGTTGTAACGATTAGCCAGTTAATGTAGGCAAAGGTTTTAGACCATACAGTCTTGTCTGATTTTTATTTTGTTTTTATTGTCCACAACAAGGTGTTGTGTCACATTGCGAAGTTCCAAGGAGATATTGACGACAACTCAACCCAGTGGACAGTTGATGAAAGTAATATCTCTTGGCGTCCCCTGTGGAAAAAAAATTAAGATTTATATCACCATCGAAGCGCTTCATCTAATAAGTATTCAGCTGTGGAAGGAAAAGGGGAGATCTCCTGCCGGGCAAGGTGTTTTGCCCGGAGAGCAGCCAACGCTTCGTATGTTATTTCGGAGCTGTTTTATATATGGCGAGTTCTTCAGAACTTTGATAACGCGATTTAGGCTTCGGTGCGTTTCGTATACGGTGCGACGACTGCCTGCTCAGACTGGAGATCAATAGTGCAATCTAGATGTTGACGACTGTGTAAATGCCAGGAATTGCCTTGTAGTCTGCGGTGATTCGAGAAGAAGGCAAGTAATCTGCGAGAGTGCCGTGAAGTAGAGGCGGGCACAGTAAAGCTAAAAGCCGTGCCGAACATTGTAGCGCAGAGAGTAGCTTAAGGGAACAGGAAGCATTATTCCCGAGCGGAAATGAACCTTGTAAAGCTCTATGGCTTGCAGGATGGGTAAACTGCTGACAAAATCTGTTTGGGAGCGAATGGATTGGGTAATTACTTGAGATCGAAGACGAACGCTTGAAGTTGAGGTTTCCGAAGGTTGTTGGTTGCGTGTTCACATCAAGTCTGTTGGTCACCACTTTGCTGACTTGACGGGTCAGCATTATACAGGTTATAGGCTCCACTTTAAAGGTTGTGGAGTTTTAAATGGAAAACTTGTAAGTAGAATGAGTATAAAGAGTGGAAGGAGTAGAAGAATTAGAATAATTTATTGTAAAAATGTGATTCCTTTTATACTAAAAATTAACAAAATGTACAAAGTTATTAACAAATCAAAATGTCTACATTAAAATTACAACATCGATTTCTTATATTTTCGCGAAGACTACACATTAAATGAAACTAATTTTGGATTTTATTGCGTTTAATTTAAGTTTTTAATTCCCGAAGTTGTCCCTCCCCCGTGACCATGGGTGCTATAAAGCACCCGAATCGTCGGGAATTAAAAGAGTTAAATTAAATGCAATAAAATCCAGTAAAAATTAGTTTTATTTAATTACAACATCGAATAAAAATCATATTAATAACTAATATGCGATTGGTCGTAAAACATCTATTATTAATATAATTGTGTAATCTAATAATTAGTTTATATACGCAGCCATTTAATACCCAAAATTGTACTACTTTTACGTATTAAAATCCACTTTGAACCATTATTTAAACGATATATTTTATTGATAACAGAAGCAGCAATCCGTCGGTGGTCAATACGTTTCTGCCAAAACTATTTCTCTTTCCTCCCTTTTGGCAATAGGCCTGGAACCCAAAGAGAATATAATCACTATGTTTACTCCAAACCACAAATTATAATGTCTTCATAATCTTTGCTTACATACATGACTTTTTTAAACGATATAACAGAAGCAGCAATCCGTCGGCGGTCAATACGTTCCTGGCAAAACTCTTTCTCTTTCCTTCCTTTTGGCAGTAGGTCTCGAACCCAAAATTGATATAATCACTATGTTTACTCCAACCCACAAATTATAATGTCTTCATAATCTTTGCTTACATACATGACTAGATTTCGCTTCGTCTTAAAATAATGACTTTAAAACCTAGATAACCTAAGCCTCTGTACGTGGTAGAGACATGCTGCAGCTATATTGGTAGTATGGTTGTAGCACCAATGGGTCGGCTCGACCGGGGAGGGACCACGATCTCACAGAATACCAGCGTCAAATAGCAGCTTATCACTGCTGTGTTTCGTATGGTGAGTGTAGAGAACCGGAGACCCTTTTTACTGGAAAGGAGGCATTCCATCTTAGTCCTCATAGGTGACAACGCATCTGCATCTTGGTTCGCAAACGAGGATAAATGTAGATGTCTATGGGCCACAGCAACCATTTACCATCAGGTGGACTGTGTGCTCGTTTGTCACCCTTTCCTATAAAAAAAAATACTGATTAAATCTATGTGGCTCTAGTAACATGTGTCTTAGTCAAAGAGTTTATAATCACTACTCGTACGTGTCTTAGTTGTTTGTGTAAGATATTCTGCTCTATTTAAATAAAACTAGTTTTTACAAATTTTATCGTGTATGTTAACTTATTTTATATTCCCGACGTTTCGAGAACCTGCAGCACCCATGGTCAGGGGACGGGAGGACAGAGGTGTTCAATGTCCCAAAGTCATAGCACATGAGTAAAGAAATTGTACAGAGGCAAAGCTTCTTAGAAGCTGTCAAAATTTTCACCTATTTTTAGACACAGGCACAGGAGGATAAAATTAAATAAACGAAATTTTTTGGGTTCTTTTAATTAACTTATGTATATCCTCAAAAAATATGATTTGTCTTTTTCTAAAAAATACGCTGAAACTGCTACCTTCACTTCTTCATCACTTAAAAACTTTTTCCCACGAAGTTCTTTTTTTAAGTTTGGAAATAGATAATAATCACTGGGGGCCAGGTCAGGACTATAGGGTGGGTGTGGTAAAATTTCGAAGCCCACCTTCTGCAGGGCAGCCATCGCAACATGGCACTTGTGAACAGGCACGTTGTCGTGCAGGAGAAGGATTTCTTTGGTCAATTTTCCCCTTCTTTTCTCCTTTATGGCTTCCTTAAATTGTTCTAGGATTGAAGCGTAGTAATTTCCGGTTATGGAGACACCTTTATTTTTATAATAGGATTCTTTCTGAGTCCCAAAAGACTGTCGCCACGATTTTCCCAGCCGATTGAGCCACCTTAAATTTCTTGGGTGGTGGTTTGCCTTTTTTGTACCACTGCATAGAGTCCTGTTTGGACTCAGGTTCATAATAGTGAACCCAAGTTTCGTCACCAGTAACAATTCGAGCCAACACTCCATCTTTGTCTTCCATACAGAGGTCCAAAATGCACGAGAACACTCCACGCGCTGTTGCTTGCGCTGACATGCACTGACTTTAGTCATGCCAATATGGTCATGAAGAATGTTGAAAATGGTTGTATCTGATACTTCGACCAAGTCTGCGAGCTATTTTTTCTTAAGCGGGCATCTTCTAATATTAATTTTTCGACTTTTTGAATAATTTCCGAAGTGGTCACCCCGATCGGCCTTCCTGGCCGTAGATCGTCTTCAAGTGACTCTCTGCTTTGTTTAAAAAGGGTATGCCACTTGTAAACCATAGTTTTACTTGGTTTTACTTAAACAAGAGTCTCCGTCAACGGATGACATCTCTTCCAGTATAGACTGAACTGATTTTCCGCGCTTGGTTTATAACGGCACGGAACTCGATTTTCTGGTTAACGATAACGCTAAGACTAACGATCTAATTACAATAAAACCCGGTATTTATACTAATCATGAGTTGCTAAATTAGCACGTAACTCAGTAACGTTCCCATTTATTACCTACCTACCCATTCCGCGAACTTAAAAACGACCCCTCGTACTAAATATATAATATTTTTTTAAAAACTACATATTCTAAATATTTTACTTTTATAATTATTGTTCTTCACCAATGTGTTGTGGCTTTTAATTATTATGGTAAATTCTAATTATAATGTAAAGTTTTTTTTTTAAATATTTATATAATATATTTATAAACTCTTGCACACGTTTTAATATTTCCCTACCAATATTTACAATCTTTCTTTCGAGATCAAAATATTCGCGAAATTTTTGCACAAGAAATTCAATAAACGCGATATGATTGTCAGAAAGTATCTTAAAAAACCCGATTGAACACATCTTTATTAAAATCCCAGTAATGGCTTAAAAATTAATCTTTTCCCACATTTTTAGGTTGTTTAGTTAACGTACAGTTTTATTTTTTCACATTTGTGGTGTTTGAGACAACATTTTCTATACAAATTTCTCGACACATAGACTAAACCATTTTTATCTGGCAAATCAAATAGATAATCATTTGTTCCTCCTGTTAACACAGGAGCAGTAACATGGTCAGGATGCGGTGATGTTGTATTAAAATACGACAATCGTCTGGTTTCATATGTAACATATTGAAATTGTGTTCACAATTAGTATTTTGAGGTTTCCCTAAGATATCGGTTTCAAACATCTTATTGAAGGCAATACTAATTAGTCGACACGTTGGTTCCTGGCAGTTACCACCCGCCTGTCTGACTTTTACAAATAAATTTTCGAGATAATCTTGAATGAGACGTCTCGTAAATATTTATAAGTTAACTTAATTTCTTCTGATTTTAATTCTTCATGAAGTTTTATTTAAAATTTTATAGACACTTGGAATCTGAGAATGAAATTCATACTACATGTTACGTCTTTCTGTCTATCACTTCCTATTGATTTTAAGTTGCTGAAAAAATTTTTGCATTTCTTCTAAAAGCTCCATACCTAGTCAGGTCAAAAGTATTGTCACACAGTAAAACTTTTCTTTTAGAATGCTGGCCACAAAAAAGTTTATTGAATTCGAATTTCGAATTGTTCATGAAAATAAAACTGTATACTTTTTAGAATTTTACTCATTTTGAAATATGGAGTGGACGCTTAAAGAAGACCGTGTTGCAGTTATTGCGTTGCATCGTTGCGGTTACGCGCCAATTCAAATTTTTGACATACTGAAAAATTTGAATATAACCAAAAGATTCGTTTATCGTACCATCAAACGATACAATGAAGACTCTAGTGTAGATGACAGGTCAAGAAGTGGTCGCCCTCGGTCTGTTAGGACTCCAGCAGTGATAAAAGCTGTGAAGGCGCGAATTCAAAGAAATCCCAAACGTAAGCA